ACCATAGAATGGTCAAACATAAAAAATTATACGAGACATCATGAATAAATTAGACGTGATATAAACTACTCCATTCGTTTCAAAAAGGATGATCCTATTTTCTTTTTAATCTGTTTCAAAAAAAAATATTCTTTTCTTTTTTTGGCAACACTTTAATTTTGACTCTCCACGTGACAGATTTAAAACCACAAGATTAAAAGACATTTTAATACATTTAACATAACTTTAATTTAGAACCATAAATAAAAAAAAGAAATTCTTTTTTTAAACTCCGTTTTAAGTCAAATTATGTCATTCTTTTTAAACGGTAGGAGTATAAAAGTTACATCTCAATGTGAATTTCAATTAGTTTCATTGTCTTCTTCTACTACATTTATTTGTTAAATTTAATAACCAACTTTCTTTCCATTAGTTTCATTGTCTTCTTCTACTACATTTATTTGTTAAATTTGATAACCAACTTTTCTTAAATATTTGGAGAAAAGAAAAATAAATTATCTTAAAGGATCGGAACTATTTATAATTATATATTTAAAGAGTTATTTTAACCTATAACCCGAACATTCTTACTATATTTCTTTAGTTTATTATATGGAATGACATTTCCAATTAGAAAATAATTAAAATATCTTGCAACATTCATTAAATATTCGAAGTTACTCGCGCACTTGTTATAACTAAATTAAACTGTTAAATCATAATTAAGAGTAGAGATAAATTGAAGTGTTTTCCTCCATATATTTGGGTCCTGAAACTTGCTCATATCTTGGTGAAGAACAATATTATAACATATATATGGAAGGGTTAAATTTGCAGTTTCCCTTCTATATTTGCTGTTCACTGCCCCCATTCTTTGAAGTAGAAAGTGTCTGATTTAGGCATGTGTGCATTTATACGTCTTTAAACATCAAAATATTTTTCAAAGTGAACAGACTTTCAAGTTACTACTACTTTTTCCATTTCTAATTTTCAAGCAACCACACTAGAGTAATAAAGCCAATACATACACTATGATTCCTGTAAATTCAAAGTTTGACATACATTCTGTCAAAGCAAAGACAAACTCTCTAATTAAGCAATAAATAAAACTAAGTGATCAATGGAAGTTAAGAGATGATGGCAAGTGGAACATCCGGATCTACTTCTGCTTGCTCTTCAGTTTAGCAAGGTTAGCTTGAGCAGCAGCTTTTGCAACTGTAGTAGGCTTGATAGCACCCTTTGGATTCAGAGCTTTTCTTATCTTAAACACTGCCCATGCAGTCCCTAAAGCATGCCCTGCAGCATCGAATCCTTCACGTGTCATCTGTGCCGCCTGGTCACCATGCCTGCATCAACATAAGTTTAAACGTACTGAGAAATGGATGCAGAGGGTAAGACAATGAAAAGATATGGGCCAGTCCGGTTCATTTTCCATGTTCGGTTAAAATTTTTGAAAAACATTTTCTTTAACGAATAAGTTCCTTAGGAAGATGACTTTCCTGATGAAAGGTTCCATTCCATGTCGATTGTGTCCGATAGACCTCATCTTCATATCCCCACCAACCCTACCCCTACCCCTACTCCACCTTGCATAATTAATTTTTGCTCAAGTACTGAGACACAAACTTTTTTCACTTACTTCCCTGAAAACATTTTCCTTTCTACCGAACACACCCTAAAACAAGCAGGTCTTATCGGACTCATCTTTGAGAGATCGATTGCCCAAAATTGTCGGGTAGCAGGGACAACAAGTCTATTACTACAATTATCTAAAGTGATGGTAGTGTGGTTGGTTTCCCTGATGTTTGTTCTCATATTTATGGAAGAGAACTTCAAAAGAAATTGGAAGGTTAAAAGTAAAACCATGTCTTTTTTTCTTTTTTGTAAATAACAACTTCCATCTAACATAATATAAGAACCACAGTGTGAGTTAATCACAATGTGAGTTTGGAGAACTTCGAATTCTCTGCTTACACAGTTTCTATTTAATAACCTCCATCTTTAGCAACAAAACAAAACTTACCTCTGTTGAACAAGACCAGTTGTCACTACTGAGGTCGTTGACATCACATTCTTTCCGGCCACTTCAACGGCATCACAAACCTTATCTGTTATAATGTAGCAAAATGAAGAATATCAGGAGTCCTGAAAGAAAACAACATAGTAGTTCTGTTCATCCTATGAACACAGCAAGTGGATATTATTCCCCTCAATTCAAACACACAACAGATAAATGAAAATGTTCAACTAACGTAAAAAAGACAGTTCGTCGAGTAGAAACACATACTGAATCCATCCAAGGAAGCAAGAACAATTTCTCCCGGAAGAAGGCTAAAGAATCTCTGACCAGCTTTTGAGTTTGCAATAGAACTTGTGAAGAATCCAGAGACCTTCACTACTCCTGAGAGTATACCAGTTGCCACTTTCTCTGACATTTTTGTCATCTTCTTCACCCTAAAAGGAACAGAATGAAAATATACATAAAGATTACGCAAGAAAAACACTTACCAAATTGTAACGAACTCAACAAAGTAGCTGAGAAAATTGATCAAGTATTACTACATCTCAATTCCAAACAAGATGACGTAAGGTATATCAATCCTAAAATCCATTCAGCTTCACTTGAAACTAGTACTCCTTCTGTTTCAATTCGTACATTACTATCTCAATCCATTTAAAAAAGAATATCTCTTTCCCTTCTGACAACTTCTAATTCCAACTTCCCAGGTGACATGTTTAACCGCAAGATCAAATAGCATTTTGATACATTGTGTCTTTAGCTTTAAGACCACAAGATTCAAAATTCTTAAATTCTTTGTCAAGTCAAAACAGTCTAACAAATTGATACGGATGGAGCATTATATTGCAAAATTCAACAGAAGAATGAAAAAAAGACTGTACCTTCTCATCCTTCTCATAGCCTCAGGGCTAATCTCAGAGTTACTTCCTTTTCCCATCCTCTTCATCAACACATCATTCCCCCACTTCAATCTATCCACAGTAATATCCCCACACCACAATATCCCCTTTATCAACTGACCCGACCCGGCTGCAATCATTCTTGCAATACTGCTACTATAATCCTCAACATTCGGAGCCAAAGTTGTCCAGTATGCCGCAGAACTCCTCTCCACATCCTCCTTTTTCTTCTCCATCTCTTCTGGTGAAACATCTTTTGGCGCCATCCACCATTTTTCTGCAACCCCTTTATCCTTCTTCACTTTCTCCACTCTAAACGCACTGTACTTCTCCAATACTAAATCTAACTCCTTTAACAGTCTTTCTTGCCCTTTCGAAGCTATTGTCAAACCATAGTTGAGTAAATTCTCTGCGTATCCATCTTCATCATTTGCTTCAGAAGGTACACGAAGAGTGAAGAAATAGTGAGATTCATCAAGCTTAACAGCAGCTTCATCTCTCGCTAAAGGCCATTGAATCTGATCTCCGACACGTGCAAGAACAGCAACAACGTTGTCGCCCTGTTTTAGTTGAACAATCTCGAATTCACCACTAGCGAGTTCGATGCTACGTTCTTTGTCGATCAGATGGACAATCGCACCTGGGATTTGGACAATCACTTCTTCCAGTGATACAAAGTTGGAATTTTGATTAGGCTGACTGTTTTCAGTTTCTGGGAATAGATTCTCTGCTAGATCTTTCATATCAATAGTTGGGTACATAGAAGAAGATGATTTGTTCTTTTGGGTATTTGTAATAAATGGAGAAGATGATTCTGGGTTTGAATCAATAACTTCTGGGTATAATTTGGGAGGAGATGGATTTTGAGAAGCCATAGTTTTTTTTTTGGATTCTTGATTACCCAGTTTGGATTTACACACAAAAAGGAAAGAACTTTGTGAAGATGTGTAGATGGGGTTTCAAGATTTATGTACGTTTTAGCTTAGGGTATAAGAAAATGGAAAAAGTCGGTTCTAAGGTTGAAGACGAGTTCACGTGGCTGCCACGTGGCTTGATATGTAAAGCCCGTGTGGAAGCCGATGAGATTCTTCGCCGTGTTTTTGAAGTAACTGTCACTGGAGGACGTTAAGTTTACTAAATTTGGACTAAAATACCCTTTTTTTGGCTAGAGAATATTGCTAATGTTTCTTGATTCAGTTAAAAAATATTACAGAGTAATTAAATGTTTCTATTCTTCTTTACCATGGGAATGTTCAGTTAAGAAGTATGATTTGTATGAATTGTCAAGAATGCTAAGTGAGTTTATGAAGATGGGAAAAGTTAAAGATGCAGATAGACTGTTTGAGAAAATACCTGAAAAGAATGTTGTTATTTGGTCAATCATGATCCATGGTTATTCTAAAAATGGGCTACACAAAAACTCAGTTGAATGTCTCACCTCAATGAGAAACTTTGGTTTAGTGCCTAACTCATTCACTATTGTGGGTGTTCTTGTGGGGATCTCAGGATTGAAGGACTTATTACTTGGACAATCAGTTCATGGGCTGACCGTGAAGTTGGGGTGGGAAGATAATTCATTTGTGGGCACTTCACTTCTAGAGGCTTATGCAAAATGTGGAAATATCAGTGACTCTGGCAAGATTTTTGAGGACATAAAAAGTCAAGGTCTAGTTCCATGGAATGCAATGATCGGTGCATTAGTACATAATGAACTATTTGAAGAGGCTTTCTTGTTATTTAATAGGTCTAGAGAGTCTGGTTTGTTTCCTAATTCAATGACAATTATGGCCTTGACACAGAGCTGTGTGGCAATGGGATCGAAATGTCTTTGTGAATCAGTTCATGCCATGGCTCTTAAGTTTGGTCTTGTGTTTAATATACAGGTCAACAATTCACTTCTTTTTCTGTATTCAACATTGATGGAGTTACCTGCTGCTTGGGAGATTTTCGATACAATGGAAAAGAAAGATGTCATCAGTTGGTCAACGATGATGAGCTTGTTGGTTCACCTAGAATATGCTTCAGATGCTATAAAGCTTTTCCTCCATATGAGGTACTCTGAGAATGAATATGATCATCTCATCCTAATGAATCTTATTTCAGCTTGTGGAATTTCGGGGAACTTGAAGATGGGAAGATCTGTTCATGCTCAAGTAGTAACTCATGGTTTTGGATCAGAGCTTCCTTTATTTAATGCCATGATTACTATGTATGCAAGATGTGAGGACTTGAATTCTTCAAGAACTGTGTTTGATCATTCAACCATTAAGAGTATGGTATCATGGACATCTATCATTTCAGGACTTTTGCATAATGGAAGGCCCAGGGAAGCACTAGATATGTTCATTAGTGTTAGAATTGAAGAAAATTTCTTCACTGATTCGGTTCTTCTTGTGAGTGCACTAACTACTGCTGGTGAAATGGTTGCTTCAGAACTCTGCATGCAGCTTCATTGCCATACTATAAAAACAGGACTTACAAACTATAGAAGTATCCAGAATAGTCTCATATCAACCTACTCGAAGTGTGGGAATGTTGAACTTGCAAACAATGTTTTTGAGCAAATGGCATCTCTTCGTGATGTTGTATCATGGAATGCTATTATAAATGGGTATGGTATCAATGGCCATGGAGAAACTGCTCTTTCCCTGTTCTATGAGTTCAGTAAGAGTGGAGGAATACCTGACAGTGCTACTTACTTGAGCATTTTGAGTGCTTGTAGCCATTCAGGATTGGCAAGTGATGGTTTGTTGATCTTCAGTCAGATAATTGATGAAAATAGAATCGAAGTTGGTGCAGAACATTATGGCTGTATCGCTGATTTGCTTGCTCGGGCAGGTTACGTGCCTGATGTAAGTTCATTCTTGAATGGAGATGGTAAGACTCTTTGGAAGGTTATATTGAACGAATGTGCACGTAATAGTGATTTAAAATTAGCAGAATTTGCTGCAAGAAAGTTTCATGAGCAGATTAAAAAAGATCCTGGTCAGCTTGTACTACTCTCAAATCTTTATGCATCAGTTGGGAGATTTAAAGATGCAGAAGCCTTGAGGTCGAGCATGGACACACAGAAATTGATTAAAGTTCCAGGATTCAGCATTCTCACTGGAAATCTATAGCATGTTGTGAAATCCAAATCAGTCATCACATGAATGGATAACAATTCTGCAACTTCATTTCATGTGGAGCTGCTGTAACATCTGCCATAAAAAGTGCATGCTTCGAAAGGTAAATGATTCAACTTCGATAAAGATATCTGTTTAAAGAGTAATTCTTCCCAAAGAGAGAAGAATCACAGAAACAAAAAGGAATTGTGTTGTGTATGATATACATCTGGACTAAAACTCAGGTCTAAAGATGAGCAATAGCAGGATGCAGCTTCATGCCAATGGTTTAATGTTGCGACAGGTAAAGAGTCAGAATTATGCATCAGTGATATAAATAAGCCTGAACCTCTTCAGTTAGCTCGTCTCAAAAATTTGTACTCACCATGGCTAAAAATCAATTATGTGATAGATCATTGAACCATTCCCTTTGAATGGTGAGTTCCCTCTGGCAGAGGACTTCTTCAATCATACTTATCTCTTTTTTAACATAGAAAAAGAGCGTATTATCAGTGTATGCAAAATGCCTCTATCACCATAGGCTGTAAAGCAGTAACAAGCTAGCTTGCCTAAATACAGTCATAATGCATCATGGTTCTCACCTATCGGTGGGACTTATTCATCCTTGAATATTTAAGTAGAAGGTCACTACAAAAACCAAGGGTTTTCAATTTTGACACGATCTCTTATAAACAAAGCCAAATAGAACATAGGAAAGCATGTTACCAGAATCTCTCTACACCACTAAGGATTAGCAGCTAAAATGATTAAAGCTCTGAGTAGATGTAGAACCTCCTTGTTCAATATAGAAGAGTCATTTGCTTACAGCATATCTAAATCCGAACAATGGATTTCCTTCACACCACAATGGATTTCCAATAGGACCAATATTTATCCATATGGAGGAAAATAACTGAATCCTAGTAATAAGTCTGAATCAACAAAACAAACCATTTATAAGTAGAATCTCTTTTTCTTGCACAGAGGGGGTAATCCATCTATTAGCGGTACAGCAATTAACAGACTAGCTGCATAAGACACTTCTAATGCAATGTGGCTCACTTGAGTCCTGTTCTTCCATGAATATGAAGTTGAAGGTAAAAAAAAGAAGATCCAATATGTACATACTACTCGCATAAACGAAACCAACTAGAACATTGAAAGCATGTCGCCAGAATGTTTAAACACTACTAATGATTAGCAGTGGAGAAGGATTATAAATATCTGATTAATAAGCACATCATAACCAGATTCAATTAATAAGCATATCACAACAGAGCCAGCTGGTTTCAGCACATAAAAATCTGAACTATGATTCCTTCAAAATCAAAATTGAAAAGATGGTGAAAACAAAAGGCAACAGTAATATCTTAAATAAAAACAGGTGATGCAAAATCTATTTCAAAACAAAATATCAGGCACAGCCTGCTCAAGACTTCAAATATAAGTGATCTGTTATCAGTAAAACTCTTAATAAGACTAATTATTCATATGCTCTTATCTTGCTTCTCTTACTCTTTGCCTTCACTGACCCATCCTTCAGCTTTTTCTCTAGCTCAGAACTCTTCTTCTTCTTCTTTCCATCTTTCAAAGACAACTTACTTGTTTTTTGCTGCTCAGCTTTTTTCAACTTTTTTGCCTTCTTCTCACCGTTCAACTCACTCTGGATACCACCCTTCCCAGCTTTCCCCTTTTTCACTTTCTCAACTTCATGATCATCACTCTCCTCAATGTCTTCATCACCATTTTCCTCTTCTTCATTATTACCAACATCATCATCATCACTTCCCAATTCATCTACACCAGAGTCTAAGTCCATATACCTAACTTCATGAATTCTCCCTTTATTCTTCCCCTTCTTCTTCCCTGATCCCTCTTCAGCTTTCCTTCCACTCTCCTCAACCTCAACCAAACCACCACTCATTTCTTCATCTCCACCCTCAGCTTCTTTCTCCTTAAATCCCTGAATCTTGAGTTTGATCTCAGGCAATGCTTGATACAAAGGCAATGCCAAAGAATCAGAAAGTCTCAAGTGCAAGCTTCTCACACCACCCCATTTTTTGGGAACCACCTGAACAACACCCTTTATTGCTTCAAAGGCATTGTCAACAATCTGTGCAGAGTCCATTGAACCCTTACCAATCCTCATCATACAACAAGTTCCAGTCCTCAAGTAAAACAACCCAGACCCACAAGCCCTTTCCACTTGCTCCTTCCAATTCTTGTGTGTCAAGTCTAATGGCAAAGGCAGCTTCTTTTTCTTGAAAAACTGCTTACCTAGAAGCTTAGGAAGCAAATGGACAATCCTCCTGTCAACCAAGAAAAGATCATAGGAATCACAAAGCTTTCTCTTTGCTTCAAAGGGTTTGTAGTTAGTCTTAAGCTTAGAAAGCTTAATGACTTTGGTGATGGGTATGTTTTGGGATTTAATAATCTTTTTGGCAGCATCGGAAGTGAGCTTGGAATTGGGTCTGTCATCAATGATAAGGCAGAGTTCTGAGGAAGCATCATGGAGAGGGTGAGGGAAAGGGATTCTGAAAGCGTTTGTACGAGGTTTTGGTGGTATTTTCTTAAGAGTGAGATTAAGGTAGATGAAATCGTCTTGTGGGAGTAATTGGGGTTTTTCAGTTTTCGACTTGGACTCTTTCCATTTGAGAAGAGCATTTACTGCCTTCTCTACTGTGGAGCGGCTAACCTTGGTGGCGGCGGGTGGAGCAGACTCCATTCAGATATACGAACAAGTGAAAAGCAATTCTGGAAGAAACAATTCAAAGCAAAATACTTTAGAAAAATCTGCTATCAATAGAAAATTAGAGTTCAGTTACATGAAAGCTATAGAAAATCAATTACCTTGAGCTGAAAGTTGTAACTTGTAAGAGCAAGAGAGGAAGTGAAGAGACCTTAAACCCTAAAACCCTATTGCTACCTAAACGCGACAAGTAAAGCTGAGGAAGTTCAAAGCAAGTACACCAGGAAGATTAAATGATATGTAGAACCCTCTACTTTTTAAAATGACGAATACGTCCCCCAAGTTCGTTTTGCTTTCTTTTTTTTTGGGATAAAAAAATGCAATTATTGTAATTGTTCGAACCACCTAACACAAATACACAATATAGGATTAAGGAAAGTACTATAAAATCTACGACAAAGTAATTTTCTTCTCAATCATCGCATGTTGTTGTAGTTGATAAATGTAATTGCACTTACAAAAAATGATCACTTATGAAGTTTTTGAACCATCCCATTTGAAAAGAGATTTCTGCGGATGCAACTAAAACAAGCCAATTGGATAATCTTCAACACGTAAAGAGTCGGCATTTTGCATCGGTAATATTATTAGCTCATAGATCATCAGTTATCATTGAAAAAGAATTGTGTAAAATAAGTAGTTTACAGATCATTATAACCGATCTTGGTAAAGGAGATCACTAAACGACTCTTTTGGCCGATATGGCATTTTTTACAAGCATAATTTGGTCATTCTTCACAATTACATACTCATTGTATTCTTGCTGAATTATTCCAGGACTCAAAGTTCATGGGAGAAGAAAGTATAACATGTCTCAATGAGGTAAAATAACATGCATCAATTTGGTCATTTTCCTTCAAGGTGAATAATAACTAAAGCTACGTAAATATTTTCAAGAGCACTAAGAATAGAAAGACAAGTTCATTGAAATATATCACAATTGTGTTCTGTAGAGACACCTCTATCGTGATAATTAGCTGGGTGTATCCAAGTTGCAGTAACATGAGAAAGTGCAGCAGCAGCGGCAATGCATCTATGTGCACTGAAGCCCAGACATGTCAGAAGTATTGTACTCCCGCTGGAGAAAGTGTGATTAGGACTTAGGAGGGAACAAGTAAAAACATCAAGTTCAAACAAATGTATAGCAATACCGACATTTTAAATCCATGAAGCTGATATGACGACTATGCTACAATTTCCTCATCTTCTCTTATTAGAAGTGGCTATGTGATTTCACATACATAGCTCAGGCAAATAATTCCAAAGTAAGCTCTTTTCTGGGCATACATTAGTCAGGAGAGACTTCACTCTGCTTGTTTCCACCTTTTGAATATCAATAGCCAGAGCCCCTGCTAATTGCTGGTTCAAAACATATAAAATCAACTGTGTGAAAAGTTCAAAACTTACTGCGAGCTTGAAAAAATATATGAAGCACAGTACCTTTTTGAGCCACACCATATAAGTAGCAGCAAAGGTTGCTTGAGCTTGATAGTCCTCAAAGTCACTGTCGGGTAGAACTGTGCAGGAACGGGATAGTTCTAATTCATTATCTATGAGCATGTCAATATCAACCGCCCTGATGTTTCTCTGGTTAGACGGCAAGGATCTATCATGATCACCACATGCAAAATATCTTATCCAGCAAGTTAAGAGGAAGCGGCGATGAAGCCACAATGCCTGAGGGGGTAAAAAACACGAGGCAGGGTTGCACACAAAGTTATTAGGCTTTTAATAACTTAGATTATCTTCATGAAGCAATTAAAAGACAAACCAGATACAGAAAAAAGAAAGGAATGGCGCAATCAATTTTGTGCATGGAACTGATTGATCATATTTTGTAGGTTGAAGCCTTAGATACGAGTATCTACAGCTGAGCACGATCAAAACATCAAAATGATCATTCTCTTGATCTCATTAAGGATATTATAAGATGAAATAGATAGGCAATTAAAAATGAGGACAATCTCCATAAATATCCAACTTACATGTGAATATCTACTCCAACACCTAACTGTTAATCTGAAACTAGTATACCTACCTAAAAAATTAAATCACTTAAAAAGTCTTGTGCATTTAAAGGTAAGGATTGAAAGTAATACGAAAGAATTTATGATTTATATGAAAATGTACTTTCGTACAAATGAATTATGTGTTTGAGTTGAGATATGTCTTATTATTTACTGGAACAGGAGTCTCTAATATGGTATTTTCACTTTTGTCATTTTCACTCCCATACATTAATTTCGTAAAAACTTATGTGTGTGTATAACACAAAATCAAACTATAACAGCTCTGTAGTAATATAGGGAAACTAGAATTGCTGAACACAAATTATAATTTCATTTAATTTGTTACTCCTACTGTTTAATTTTTAAAATAGGGCATGCAAATAGTACATATGCGAATAAGATCCTTTAGAGAGGACACTTGACTGGCGCCTTCTGGAATTGCCATCCTAGAGGAACAGAAAGAGCAACAATGGATGACATACATGTGAATGTTACGATTCTACATGCACTGAAGGACTGGCAAGAGAATTCGGAAAACTTTCCGACCTCACTAAGTCACCTAACCAAAAAAAGTGTACTTGTGAAAACTACTGTGATATACATACCTCTCTCCCCACATAACGTTTTATCAACTTCTCCACCCAGTTGAACTCATCCTATCAGCAGAAATTGAATCAGAAAAGAAAGGCTTAGCAATTAACTGTAAGATGCGGATTCGTATTTGAACAGATGCAAACAATTACATGATTTACTGTTACCAGAACAAACAAGAATGAAAAGGAATACTTTTTCAATCTTAAGAAAAGAAGGAATACTTCTTCAGTTCCAGATATTACTCCAGATTTTGTCAGTTAACGTAAAACTTACAAGGTTCAGGAACTAGTACCAACTCCATAATGGGAACTTCAATTTTTGATCTTTCACACTGATCATTCCTGCAACACCTCAATGCACTTCACCAGATAAAGTGATTTTTTTTTGTGTGTGTGTGTCAACCAGCCAATATAGTGCAACTCATAGTAGCCTAACTAATGTTGAGCCTCTGTCATTTCTGAGGAAAACTTCATGAAATTTTCAGTGAAAAGCATGTAAGTTTTAAGAAATCCTAAGCGTTCACAAAATGATGCTAAGCCCATTTCCATTAGGAAAGTTATGAGTTCATTATGGAAAATAGAATCTGTAAACAAATGCTATCAACTGTTGAGGAAACAACCACATTATAAATGCATACCTTCAACAATTTATGAAGTTCTGGATCAAAGCTAGCATCTTGATCCTGGCTATGTTCTGATTCTTCAAACAGACGAAGCATCAACCGCTGCATAGATCAACATACCAAATGACCATTTATGCCTTTCCCTATTTGTACTTCCAATGGGACAAGTGGTTTCACGCTTCCACAAAAACATTATACATTTGATAGGCTATTCAATACCAAGCAAAGAGAGAAGCAAATCAAGATTCTAATGTGGACTTACTTCACGGTAATGAAAGCAAGAGTTATCAGCAACATGGAGGCCAGCCCACTCCCGTGACTTGTTAAACTCCTGCAGAACCTGGATGCATGAATTTAAATCCATTTGTTAAGAATTGATTGTATCCTAATGAATAGAACAGTTCAAAAAGGACAGAGAAACATGAGAAAAGTGTTTCAGAGATGATTGACTGTAGTTGAAAAAAACTGAGCCCATGTGCAAAGGAAGATCAGGAATAATTGAAACACTTTATCACACTATGACCACAGACCAAAACTTTGCCTGCTCTGCATAGCCAGGAAAATTATACTGGCAGGAAATCGCAAAAGAAATGTCACCATGGACCTTTCTCTCACCTGTTCCACTGACATGTAGGAAACTAACCAGCAACGGTGATACCATGCACGATAATTCATCTTTGATCTCTGTAACAGCAACAAGAGTCAACTTAGATCATCTTTGTAAAATAAATAAATCATGAATAACAGTTAAAAGCAGTAACAAGCAGAAATGAGTACTGATATTGATAATAGATAAATCCAAACAAAATCTTCATTAGAAATACCTTGATAATTGAATTATGGCACCGGTAAAGAACAACTGAGACATTAATACATTCAAGTCATTCAACTACTTAAGCAAACCTTGCTGAACCGGTGACCTAGTTACGGTTTTTGAGTTTCAAAGCGAAACTGACTACCTTTTAAAGAAATGGCATATGATTTACATCAAATCAGCAAATGACAGTGAAACTGTTATACTTAACTTCCCCTAAATGAATCAAAGCACATGGCTAAAGTGAGGTCTTTCCTTCTTGGACCAAGAAACCTACTCTATCTTCTATTTATAAAATGCCCTACAGACTTACACTGCCTAACAGAATTTTGTAGTTATGCTAACATAAAGGTTAGTTCTATTTGCATGCCAGATTGCCCTGAAATAACAGAAGATAGAGTAGATTTCTTGATAAGAAATTGAATTCATTTCTTAATAGAAATAGTTTTCCTTGTCCCTAGGAGGATGTCCTCCTAGTGGTTTTGCTGTTGGGGCATGGGAGTAACAACATGAAGATTCCAGGTATGTATCCCAGCTACAACACTTGGTATGAGCGCACCTTATCCAGCCTAGGTGGGTAGATTACCTTGTCAAAGTATGCTTGTGAACTGAACAAGCTATCGAGGTGCATGCACGCTGGTTCAGACCCCAGAAATATTCAGCAAAAAAGATAGTTCTCCAGAAATTATGTGAGTTTCTTTAGTTTAATATACCCATCTGAAAGAAAATTATCATACGTTTTCTATTATAGAACCAAAGTAAATTAAGAATAGTGGAAACATTCCTGGTATCGATGAAATCAACCTTGAGGTACAACTCCCAAAATAGTGATCAACCATAGGCTATAAAAATTCATTAGTTTATAGTATAATCCAACATAAGACCTCTGCTAGTTTTTTCACTAACTCGGATTCTCTTTCCATAATCTCTTGCAGATTTGAACAATTTCCAGCAATCATCTTGATCACCCACCTCCTATCAGTAATTAACAGTAATAAGAACCGTGAATGACTGTCCATCGAAAGGGTAAAAAAATTCATTTCAAACTCTCACAGAAAAGACAGACACCACTCTCCAAGTAGGGAATCCAAAAAAGTTGTATCAATCTCAATTTTAGAAATATGTGTGTCATTATTTTCTTCTTTTATTCCTGAGATAGATAATGTACTTCACTAGCTTATATTCAGATCCAAGTAACATTGCAAATTTGAACCCTAGTCTCTCTCTCTCTCTTTCTGATTAAGTACTTTTTTTCCTTTTTGCAACAATTTACATACAGCTGGAATGTGCAACTCTAGGCCTGCTAAAAAGAGCCCAAAAAGGGGATCCAAAGAGAAGATATGCCAACTTGTCAATGTGTCATTACCATGTACACCAAATCAATATCTAAAAAGAATTTACATATGAAAAGAGAGGTATGTAACCTTTGGCTCCATGCTTGTTCACTTTTAGGTGAATGAGAGAGAATCACAGATGAAAAGATAAGCTCATTCATGAACATGGAAAGAGATTGCTTCTTTGACAGAACAAGCTTCCTGAAGAAAAAACAAATGTATACATCTGGTCAAAGAGCTACTAACAGATGTCACCATTTATAAGAACCGGGAAACTATAAAGTTATCAAAACAAACCTGGAATTCCATGCTGTTCCAAAATCACAACTTAGAATCAATAGTGCCCTACTGTGCTTCATCAATTCACTTTCGAGATTAAGTGAAGAAGATGAGCAACACATTGAAGCATGTTTATCATCTCTTTGGAGCAATTTATAATTTTTATATGCTTCCACAAATGCATTCTTGGCCGCAACATAAAGTGGAAAGAGAACCTTGGTTGAGATGCCCAACTTGTGATCCCTAATCCAGAAAAGTGTCCTAAAGTTTGTTTTTTGTACAGAACCAACAGATGTTGAAGGAGAGCCAACATCTTCATTCAATAAGACAAACTGGGAAGGGTGAATGAATCCTATTTCATCACTGGGAACAGAAGGCTCATGTCAGATTGCTAATGACAGCATCATTCTTGAACTCAACATCTCAATAAAAGTTAAGACAACAAATAATAAATAATGCAGATGTAAAAATGGATAGGTGAAAAATGTTAGGAAGAAGAGTCTGAGAATAAAAGTTTATCACCTTAGCTGAAAGGAATAATTACAGTGACTTTCAAAGAACCTTCGTATGATATATTTTGAGATTATAAAAAATGGCAGCTCCTTGTTATGATTTGTAAGCAATACAGGTTTCTCTGAGAAGAGGGGGGAATTCCTTATTGTAATACTCCTATGTTTACACAATCACATCCAATCCAACTTTACAAGTTGAAATATTTTACTTTTAAGCACTTCACAAAGTTGCTTTTGTTGCAAGTAGATTTCGTATCAGTTATCACAAGTGTGACGAAGGAGACTCGTTGTTAGATAGAACTTTTCCTGGTGAGTCTATTGAAGAAATTAGCTAGTCATTATTTAGTAATCTAAAATAAAAAACCAGAAAAAAATATGTAAATCACAATAATCCAATATTCCGTCATTGCACTAGCTATATCAAAATTCAGATATAGTTATCCAAGTTAATGCGTATAATACTACTGCATAGTGCAATCATGGTTCTATAATAGTCTAGATTATTGATTCAACAAACAAAAGTTGTGCCCAGATACAGAGAGATTGATGCGAGAGTTACATGAGAGGATCGGACTCCAATATGCCCTCTAAATGATTCAGAAGCTCCAACGGATCAGGCTCATCCATCTATAATTGCCTGCTAACTATAAGAGCTGTTTAATTACCCAAATGTACGCCTATTAGACGGAGATTAAGATGAAGAAACTTAAAACCTAAAACCATTTTTTTTATCTGAACTTACGAGTAAGGAAATTCAAAGCATGAATTAAAGAAAAAATCTTACAAAATTGTCTCAACCAAAAAGATTGTGAAGAAGATTTACGGAGTCAATCGCCGAAATAATCGGTAAGTTTGTATCGGAGGGAATTCAACGTCGACAGCTAGTGGTTGTATGGGTACTCCGGCGGGTAGGCTTCCGGGTGATTAAACATGAACTTCCCCTATACTTCTAAAAATGACGAAGACATCCCCTATACTTCTAAAAATAACAAAGACCCCCAAGCACTTTTTGTTTTGTTGTATTTGTCCCAACGCAATTCTTGCGTCAATCATAAAAACCCGACCAAAATAATAAAATCGACTTAATAAATGGATTTAAATTTAATTTTACTTCTAACAATTTTGTAGGGAAACTTTCACATATATCCATTTAAAAATAATTAATTACTCTCTATATTTGTAATTTGTAGCTACATGTTATATGGAGGAAAGAGGCGAGCTAGACTGTGAGAATGAGGGGGAAAAGAGTGGACAAAGGTGGATTGTATATGTAGAGAGAGGAGAGAGGCAAGCGAAAGAGGGCAGAGAGTGGGAGAGAGGTGGGCTAAAAAATTGTATATTATACATATTTATTTATATATCCTGACGAATTATACATATACAAACATGTCTAATTATACAAACTCGAAGTTAACTCACGTATTTAATGTATAATGTTAGTCGAGAGTGGTTATTATAGCAAACTATAGCTATGATGAGTTATTAAATAGTATAAATTTGTTTATCCGCGTAATTTTTTCAATTTTGTATTATATTGGATAAGGCAAAAATCAAACCATATTAATTTAGGGAAAATTACGCAATTAAGCAAAATTATACTACTTAATTATTCATTATAGCTATAGTTTTTTTATAATTAACGCTCATGACTAACATTATACATTAATTACATGGGATGACCGCGTTTGTATATGTATAATTCGCCAGAATGTACAAATATATATATATAATATACAATTATATAACCCATATACATATATAATTCACCTCTCTCCCACTCTCTGCCTTCTCTCGCTCAGCTCTCTCCTCTCTCTCCCAGTCTCGCTTGTCTCTTTCCTCCCTATAAAATGTAGCTTAGAATTGTAATTATTAAACTATAGTTATAAAGAATAATTAAGCTATTTTTGAATGACTATATGTGAAAGTTCTCAATTAATTTAAGTTGACAAAAAGACTTAATTTATTTGTAGACGTGTTTACTTATGTTTGGTATGAAAAAAAACGTAATACGAAAAAAGTTATATAAAATAATAGCTTATTATTGCAATTGTTGATTGGTCAAATTTTTAGTAGATGTGGATATTTATAATCACAAAAATTAATTTATAACAAGAATATGAATAAGTAAAGGAGAAACTATTAATATAACATGATCAAGTGAAGTAACTATATTAAAAGTAAGGAGAAAAATTTCATGTACCTTCAATTTAACGATATTAGAGTTGATATACTTGTTATAGAGTTTGCTTACAATAGAGATATATAGACGTTTCCCCTTAATGATTGTCAAATAAAATCTTTATTTTTTAATCACCATTTTTTAACTATGCTAGCTAATTGAAAGAGTTCATTAGACAAAGAAGTCATAAACAGAGTTTTGATTTTATTTTGTTAATTTAACATATCCAACATTTATTTTTTATTTATTAATATAAAAGAATTTTAATATATGTATTATTTTTATTTTACCATCTATTAATAGAAAACTATCTCTTCATCACTTGATCGGAGTGAATGTTAGCCAGTAGGTATTATTTAATTTAATAGTTAGTGTTTAAATTATGATCCTGTTATTGACCTAAAATGTTGGTAATTCAGCTAATTAATCTTGAAGACCCTAGAAGCAACTAAATTATTTGTCAATCTCAGTTGTTAATTAAACTCTACACTTTCACCTCTATAAATTGCACCTTCTTGGCTATTTTACTTCAATGTAAAATTACATCTTAATTTTTTTTTATTATTTCAAAGTGTCTATAAATTTTTTTTTAAGTGTTTTACCTGTGTTCAGAATTCATATTAAAATTCATTATATTTAGATCGTGCACTTATATGGCCCATTTAATGAGCCTATGCGAAAGACAATTAAAATCTTATGTATTATTTAATATTCCATATGTAAGTGCTTTAATCATTTTTGTCTTTTTAAAAAAAATAAGATTTCATGATTCGTAACAGAGAAGAGTATTAGTAGATGCATTTGACATAACTCTTGTTTGATTAAGGCAATTAAAATAAATATTTCTTAAGGGCTAAAAATGATAATTGTCCCTTTTTTAAATCGTTGACAAACTTATAATTAATTATTATTTCATCCCGTCTAATGGTTTCATTCTACTGTGCTCATTAGTTTTGTACATTCTTAGCTATTAGTAATAATTTTTGGATTAAAGTTCACATTTTATTTTTTAAAACTAAAAAAACGTATCAAAACAGAAAGTGACATATAAGCCAATTAAATTTCTACAATTAAGAAAGGAAGGTATATTTCTATACAATAAATACAGCAGCTTCGCCTTTATCACATTTAATCCTCAAGTCTCAGTCTGCAGATTTTCTCCTATAGTAATTATCGAGTCTTCATACTTCTTAACTCAAATACAAAGTGGAATTCTTCTTATTTTATATATATATATATATATACACACACATTAAGTTAAGTTTAACGATCATTTTGATTTTTAAATTTTTCACTGTTATATTGATATATACTGCAATTACTATTCGATGATGAATTTATGATACAATAAATTGACATGTTAATATCTTCAATTTTGTGTACAATTCTTATTGAACATAATACTCATCAAACATGACACAAAATATTTGTATCAAATACTTATTTAGTTGGATATAATGTATCTAGTACATATGTTGCAGAAGAAAATATTTGACTGATACACAATTATATGTGAATGTTCAATGAACATAACATACGATGTTTACTGATACAATATTTAATATGATACTCATTGAACATGTCACAAAATGTTTGTGTCATATACTTTATTAAAACTATATATGATGTATATAAAACATGTTGAAGTAAAGATGGTTGAGAAATTGTAGGAGCAAAATTTTGATCCCTCTTTTTGAGGCGTTTTAACAAACTCTGCTTTCAAAGATGAATGGACATACTTCTTCAACTTTTCAATATCAACCTTTCATTACTAAAGGATCATGAAGTTTTTAGATATATGTTTAGCCCAACTAATATCTTTATAATCAAAAACACGTTGTGTCAAAATAAAACTATGAGAAGTAATGACTGTGCGTAAAATGTTTGATTTTAGATCGATACATTACTGTGTGATAATTTTAATTTGCCAAATAATAAATACGTATCATACACCTATTGTTGGATATGATATACAGTGTTCTAGTTATAGAACTTTAGGATTTATAATTCAAGATTATTAGTGGGTAAGATGTACATATCCACCGCATTCTATGTTGGTAAGACTGAACAAATATAAAAAAGTGCAGATACATATAATACAACTGAATTATTGTTATCCATATAGCCTTCCAAATTTGAATAAGATTAATGTTATATTAAAGAACTTGATACATGTAAATAATACATTATGTAGTGTTTATGTATCAACAACACTTATATTGAACATGATAAAACTAATATAATATTCAACAACATTAGGATTATATATCAACACCATAAATTTGAAAATGATACATTGCATAAAACAAAGGCTACTGTGACATTGATCTATCAGATCAATGATGATACTAACAAAGGGTAATTTAAGAATCAAAATAAACAAGTACATTAAAAATTTATATCTTTTATGGTGATAGTCGTGTAATAGTAGATCCAACTTTTTTCCCCTCTTTTTTGGCCGTTTTTTCAATAATAGATTTAAAACTCAAGCATGTGTCCTTCTTCAACTTTTCGTTCACAAATGTATTACGCATATAATTTGATATTGTGTACGGATACATATTCTTCTAAATTTGAATAACATACATAGCAACACTTCATAAATGATAAAATGATACATTTGGTGGATACTACTGCTTTCCGTTTTATAATATAACCAGCAAAAGTGGATCTCCTGAAAACGATTTTGTTTCAAGGAATAATATGGATATATCATCTCTTTCACTTTTCCCTTATGCATTTTGTGAAGGTGGAAAGGGAGGAGATCTGATAGTTCTTCGAGAAAAATTGTGAAGCGAATACTTACTTGAATTCTTGTAAAAAATTATGGAGATATCTTAGTGAAAGGAGAGAGAATATGTTTTTTTTTTTTAAGAAAGGAGAGATAAATAAATATGAAAATTAAAAAAAAATGAAAGAAGTAAATATTGAGCGTGTGAAAATAGAAAAATATTAAGTAAGTGAAAATAAAAAGAGATTGGGGGAGTGAAATAAGGAGTAAAAATAAAAAATTAACCTGTCTTATGTATCCGGATCAATGGGGTTTAGTAAAAAAAAAAAAAGAATTTTGTAAATATTTTAAAATAATAAAGAATAAAAGAAATTATGAAAAATAAAGATATGTATATAAATAATTTATCCTTAATTAATTTACCTACTCTTTCTTTGGATTAGCCTTATTATCCAAAAACACAGTCGATAACAATAAACCAAGTATACATAATTATTTTCCAAAGATCCTAGACTAACATAGTTAAGAAACGTGAATTATTAGATGTATAATTTTTCACTTTGACGTACTGCTGTCTGCTAAAGTTTGTTATCTAGTGTATTTTTTAAAGGTGCAAGATTTGTTCTTCACCTATATATATCCATTATATTGTTTCAAGATACAGGGAAACAAATAATTGAGCTGGGGCTAAAATGTCTACCATTAAAGTAAAATAAGGGAGGTCCACATGTCTCATTTTTCCTATTCTTTTAGTCCACTTGTTTTGTCCCACTTTAATTTATTGCACAAGTGAGACATTATTTCAACCAATTCTTTAACTTTTTTTTTGGCTTAAAATTTATTTATAAGAAAAAAAATTCACCCAAATACCATCATTTATTTTTACATGAACATTTTGCACAATTGCTCGTCTTTTAGGTTAGTTCGTTGAGTAAATGGAATTTTTCACCACTCGACCTCATTTAAGTCAAGATAGCTCGATTGATTGATTATTTATATCATTTACCATTACCTTAAAAATTATATATTTAAAAGTTAGGTTGGACATGT